GTCAAGGCCAACCTCGGACGAAAACAAGCGGCCTGGGGAGGAAAGCCCCAGATTAGCGGCCCCGGGACGAAGACCTGGGGCTCGCCAAATAGAAAGGAAGAAGAGGCGTCTCGCGGCTGCCTTTCCATCGACACATAATCGCTGGTCATCGCGCTTCCCAAACATCCGGCGTCTCGATTTACGCGGGCACCCGACCTGTCGACTTCCCCGGGGCCAACTTTTCATCCCATATCGTTTTTGACAGTCCCGAAGCCTGGCAAGGGCCCCGAGAGGCCCCAACCGTTGAGCAGAGACCGACCGTCCCGGCATTCCTATAGGTCTACCACGACATGTTCTTAGAACCCACACATGTTCTAAGAACAGAACAGTGTTCTTAGGACAGAAGCCCGATGTGCTAAAACAAGATCGCCTCGGCCAGGAATGCCCTTAGAACCTGTCGTGCAGAGCACAGGAGGCTCTGAGAACATTCTTTTTTGGTGGGCCTGTTAGGCAAGCCCAGACGCTTCGCCACTGCCCGAAACCGAGGACAAATCACATCCGCCCCGACTCTTTTCCGAAACGCCGCACGCCTGGGCCCAGCGCGCCCTTCGCTCTTCGCCTCGCTGCGCCGGCCCTGCCAGCCTTGGAGCAAAACGTGCGCTGCTCGCTGTCCCGCCGACGACGACGACGACGGCGACGACGACGGCGACGACAACGACGAAGGCCGACGACCGAACGACGACCGAACGACGACGGCCGAGTTCTTTGGCTTCGTGGTGCCCTCTCGGATGCCACCGCTCGGCGCGCCCGCCCACGCCCGCGACGAGACGCTGAGGCTGGGGGGTGGGCCTCCCCCCGCTCGAACACGCTGCGGATCTCCTTGATCTTCACGTGGCGCTCCTCGCGGGAGGGGGAGGGGGTGGGGATGGGGGCGCGACCAGGTGGCGGGCGGGGCGGCATGGGGGGGGGGCGACGGGATGGGGACGGGATGGGGGGTGGCGGGATGGGGGCGCCGACAGGAGGGGTGAGGGGTGAGGAGAGGAGTCGTAGCAGGAGCGGCGTGCGGGAGGGGGAGGGTGGGGAGGCGGACGAGGAGGGAGGGATCCACCGCCTCCTCCTCCTCCTCCTCCTCCTCCTCCTCCTCCTCCTCCCTCCTCATCCCTTTTCTTTATGAATGACTCCTCTCTGTCGCACCCCAAGGCGAGTCGGAAGGGCGGGCCCGGCGTTTCGCCTGAGACTTCCGCGCCACTTATGAGCCTCAGCCTCAACAACACTGGCAACAGTTTCACAGATGGAGGGCGGATGGTTTTCAAACTGTGGCTCTCGCATTAGTGCCGCGCGCATTCGTTTCAAACTTTCACACGATTTCACGGATTGAGGGAGGGTCGTTTTCAAAATGTGGCTCTCGCATTCGCGCCGCGCACATTCGTTTCAAAACATGCAGGATTGAGGCCGGGTCGGTTTCATAATGTGGCTGCCGCCTTAGCGCCGCGCACATTCGTTTCAATCATTTGTGAGATGTTCTCGGATTTGGTTTCAAATATTTGCAACAGTTTCACGGATTGCGGGCAGCTCGTTTTCAGCATGTGGCTCTCGCATTAGCGCCGAACGCACTCTTAAAACATATAGGAAGAGCTTCGCGGATTGAGGGCGGCTCCTTTTCAAAATGTGGCTCTCGCTTGAACATCGCGGACATTCATTTTAAACTTTGCAAGCGATTCAGGATTGTCAGGGCACAAGAATTATGTTGACTCGCGGTGCTGAAGTCCCAGGGATGGTAGTCTGGCTGATTCAAGATCGTCAAGATTTGCAATTCAAATAAAATCTTGGCGTTGAAGTCCTGGGAATGATGTTTTGGCGCGCTGCAAGATTTTCACACGGCTGTCCCCCAACGGGGCACTTCCCTCAGTGGAAATGAATCCTGGTAGGGGCCTAAGAGGGAGCTTGGAGGGAGCGTGTATTCAAACGTCTTTGATGAGTCTTGGCCTTACCCTGGTTCTCCTCGTCCTCCTCCTCCTACCTTTTCTTTCCTCTACCTCCTCCTCTTCCTCCTCCTCCTCCTTCATGTCTCCGATCCACCATTTCCTCTTCGTTCCTCCTCGTCCTCCTTGTCCAGGCCCTCCCTCATCGCCCTCATTGTCCTCCTCCTCCTCCTCCTCCTCCTCCTCCTCATCCTTCTCTTCATGTTTTTCTTGGATTTTCCTCATCCTTGCCTTCCTCCCCATACTGCTGCTGCTCATGCTCCTCCTTGTCCCCCTCCTTGTCCTTCTTGTCCTCCTCGTCCAAGCCCTTCCTCATCGGCATGTCCCTGCTCACGCCCTCGTCCTCCCCGCCTTCCTCCCCTTGCTGCCGCTTCTGCTGCTCGTGCTCCTCGTCGATCTTTTCTGGAGGGCTTCTTGGGACCTCTTAGGCCGTCTTGACGCAGCTTGCGGATCGTATTCGGGGGCTCTTTTGGACCGTCTTTATGTTCTCTTGGGCCGTCTTGGGGCGCTCTTAGCCCCTCTTCGCAGACTGTCTTGAGCTGTCTTTGCGGCTTCCTTCCAGCATTGCGGGACCGTCTGGGGGCCCTCTGAAGCGCTCCCAAGGCTGTCCCACGGAGAAAAGCATGAGAAATAATAGGCACTGAATTCCGTAGTGCCAGATGTCGAACCGCCAGTCCAATGCGCGAGCGTGGCTGGCCTTTCGGCACAAGCGTAAGATTGGGCACCGCGCAAGCCTGAGAGACACGACTCCACGGTGTCCTTGAATCGTTGCGGACAGTTCGGCGCACTCTTACGGTGCGAGGGGTTCTGGAGGTCCTCCCAGCGGCCGCCCACAAATTTTGGGGAGGCCTCGAAGCGGTTTCTTGGGCCATCTCGTGCCGTCGTGGCACGTCTTGGCGCTCTTTGCGGCATTATCGGGAAGTGTTCTGGTCACTTCCAATTGAATGTCTTTGGGTCGTCTTGGATCCTCTTGGACACATGATGGAACGAGCGTCTTGGGGGTCTCGGGGATCTCTTGGAACCGTTTTGGAATCGCCTCGGAGTCCTCTTCGTCCCTCTCGGTTCCATCTTGGGCCATCTTGGGCCCCTCTGGGCCGCCGTCTTGGACGTCTTGTGGGGTCGTCTTGGGCCTCGGGCCGTCTTGGCCCTCTCCAGAAAACTGAGTGTTGGGACATCTCGAGGCCCTCTTGGGCCTTTTACGCCCTCTTGGAGCCTCTGTGGCCCCCTTTTTAGCCGTCCTGGGGTGATCTTGGGTGCCTCGTGGGCCGTCTCGCATGCTCTCAAGACAAAGCAAAGTACCAACTTCGCCCAAACCATTCAGCAACCATGGGACTCAATCATTTTCGCTCTTGGAGCGTTCTCGGGGCGTGACGGGCCATCTTGGATGCGTCTTGTGACGACACCTTGGTCCGTGTTTGGCACTTCTAGGACATCTTGGCGGTCTCCTGGCGCCGTTTGGATGACTGTTGAACTTGCACGGCTCTCGAACACGAGGTCAGTAACCGAAGTTGGTGTTGACCCCGAGGGTTTTGTGGAAAAGTGAGCAGCCCTTGGGCCTGGGGTACCTGTCGCCGCAAATGATATTTTTTCCCAGCGCGGACCCCAAACAAGGTGTTTTAGCATACTGTGTGGTGCAATGAGCTCCGTCCCCTCATCCGCACCCCGCGCCGCATCGCCGGGAAAGGGTGTGGCTCCGGCCCGGCCCGGCCCCGGGCCCGCGGCTCGCAGCGGGCATCGCCTCCCTCCAGGGCCTGCTCGGCGGCGGGCTTCCTTCGACGCTTTTCTCGGGCTGGGGGCAGCACGTCCTTCGGATGGCCGCCTGGCGCCTCCCTCCTGCCGTGCCGCGCCTCGCGGCGCCGCAGCGACGAGGGAGGCTGGGGCGACATCGATGTGGAGACGTCCTCGCGCCCGAGGCTGGAGGGATTGGGAAAGGCTGGGCTGTCCCCCCCACCGCAGATGCCTGCTGCGGGTGCGGAGGGCTGGGTCGACGTGGACGCCTGCGCCACGCTGGCGAGCGCCAGAACGGCAGCGCTGCCCTTGCTGCGGGTTTCGCCTGCGCTTCGGCCCGCCACTGGTGCTGGGACGATCGAAATGGGTGCGGAAAGACTGGGTACGACGCCCAACAGCAGTTTCTGCTCATTCTGAGCAGGACTCGCTGTCC